GAAGTGACCATTTTGTGACTCTTTTAGAAACAAGACAACAGGTTGACCGACCATTTTATCCTAAAAAATGGAACTTTCATAGTGCAAACTGGGCGAAATTCAGAAAGCTATGTACACTACTCTTCGAAGAGGTGGACCATTTGGGTGTAGAAGAGATGGCTACCATATTTCTGAATATGTCCTTACTTGTGCTAAAAAGCGTATACCGCAGTCTAGCAATAATAAGGTCAACGCAAAGCCATGATGGAATCATAAGTGTGAACTTGCTAAAAAACGGCAAAACGAAGCATGGGGCACTTTTCCTTGCTACCCAACTATAGAAAACTTGATAAACTTCAGAAGTTGCAAGGCGAATGGCAGGCGTATCTGCCGTATAGCCAAATGGGAAAGCTGGACACACTACATATCCTCAATAAATTCTTACACGGATGACAGAAAGGTGTATAATAGGGTGCATAAACTTAAAGGACAATGCCCAAATTCCTTCCCCTTGGTGAATGACTGTGTTGATACGATAGAACAGGGAAATACTCTTGGCAAACACTTCAAGAAAATATCAGGTTCAGAAAATTATACCATGAAGTTCTTATGCCACAAAAGCATAGCTGAAAGTGTACATCTGTGCCCGCAAAAGCCTGTATCAGAAGCATACAATAATCCACTAACATTACATGAACTGAAGCTTGTCCTTCGTGCCAGTCGAAGTTCTGCCCCTGGTTCTGATACAATTACCTATGAAATAATCTGGAATCTCCCTGACAAAACCCTGAACTGCCTTTTAGCACTGTACAACATGATATTCAATACCCGCAAAATACCCTCTGCTTGGAAAGAGGCAATAGTACTACCAATCCTTAAACAAGGCAAAGATCCCTCTTCGGTAAATAGTTACAGGCCTATCGCCCTCACAAGCTGCCTATTCAAAGTGTTTGAAAAAATGATTAACAGCCGTTTGGTCTATTACTTAGAATAGAACGGTATATTGGACCCGTGCCAGTCTGGCTTACGTACAGCTAGATCCACAACTGACAATCTTGTCCTCCTCCAGTCATATATACGTGACGCGTTTGTACACAATCAATACTGTCTGTCTGCTTTCTTCGATCTTGAGAGGGCATATGATACTGCCTGGCAATATGGAACCCTGCAAGACCTATAGTCTTTTGGAATATGTGGCAGGCTGATTACCATCTTAAGAGATTACCTGTCTGAAAGGAAGTTCCTTGTAAGGATAGGTACTGTGTTATTGCCCACATTTCTTAAAAAAATGGAGTGCCACAGGGAGTATTTAGCTGCACACTATTTATAGTTAAAATGACTTCTCTTGGCTCTGCTATTCCACCTGCGATATCATACTCTGTATATGTGGACGACATCAAAATCAGTTTCAAATCATGTAACTTGACTGTATGAGAACGCCAGATAGAGTTAGGTGTTAACCGCCTTGCGAAATGGGCTGATGAGAATGGTTTTAACACTGACAAGACTACTAGTGTGCTTTTCCCCAGACAAAAAGATGTACATCCTGACCCCTGCATACTAATGAATGGACAAAACTTAGTCATCGTGAAAGAACAAAAATTTCTCGGAGTAATTTTCAATGCTAAGCTCACCTTCATCAAGCATAATATAAAACAGCTGAAGCTGAAATGCCTCAAGACCATGAACCTTTCAAAGATTTTATCACATCAGTCGTGGGAGACAGACAAGCACTGTCTCATATCTCTGTTAAGAAGCCTGGTTTTGTCACGTATAGACTACGGATGCATAGTATATCAGTCACCTTCAAGGACAGCACTCAAGCTATTGGACCCTGTATACCACTCAGGTATCCGGCTGGCACTTGGTGCCTTCCGTACCAGCCCTATCCACAGCCTTTATGCAGAGTCAAATCAGTGGCCACTGGACTATCAGCGCACGTATCTAAGAGTCAACTATGCAGTTAGAATCATGTCTCTGAAGCAGCACCCATGCAAAACACTTATGAATGATGTGTCCACAACTCAGTTATACCTTAACCGTCTTTCTATCGCCCCACCGTTTCCATTGGCAATAAGACCTGCAGTAGAAAAACTTGGAATTTTTTTCAATGACTTACAGGAAAGTGACCATGCCGAACACATCCCTCCCTGGCAGCAATGTCCAGTCACTTGTGACTGGTCCTTCAAAGACTTACAAAAGAAAAATTGTCCTAGTGCATTCATTGAGCAACATTTCTTGACCCTTGAACACAAATATTGTTCAGCCGCATTCTTCTCTAATGGCTCAAAGTCTCAAGCATCTGTATTGTGTGCAGCCTACGGACAAAACTTCTCAGATACCAGAACCATGCATACACATACGAGCATCTTCACGGCGGAAGCCTATGGTATCCTGCTTATTATACAAGATACAAAAGTCTATAGTGTACGCAGATTCTTTAAGTGTTGTCACGGCCCTGTCTTGTGGCAAGTACAGCAAAAACCCCACTTTCAACAAGCTCCTTAATGAAATCTATGCAGCCTATAACCTAAATCTTTCTTTTGTTATTTGCTGGGTTCCAGGTCATTCGGGGACCGCGGGCAATGAAATAGTGGACAGGAATGCACAAGTAGCCACTGGTCGGCAAACCAAAGATATAACCTCTGTTCCGGGTGTAGATCTAAAACCTGTACGTAAAGGGCTACACAACCACTGGCAAGCTGAATGGGACAGACAAGTCGACAACAAACTTCACCTTGTAAAACCCCAATTAAGGAAAGTTATCCCACAAAAACTCAACAGATTCACTGAAGTCACTATAACACTGCTCAGAATAGGCCACACTTATGCCACACATAAACACCTTTTGACAGGCACTGATCTGCCAACATGTATACACTGTGGAGAGTGCCTAACAGTTTTGCATGTTCTTATTTAATGCCCTGTGCTTCACCAAGCACGACTGACTCATTTCAGGGAGCTCTATCGTTATCGTATTCCACACTATCCAGCGCTTTTTTTATCACTCGATGCAATGTTTGACCTTAAGAGACTTGTTCATTATCTTGCAAAAGTAAAATTTTTAACAATGATATCATTCCATGCTAAACACCAGGCTGGGCCTCACGTGTGAGGTACTGCCTGGTGCAAAAAGCACAAGTATGTCTGAGCCTTTGTAGTTCTTGCTCAGGCAAGGACTTCAGCCGTGAGGGTCTTGGGCCTTGCCGACTCATTTATCATCAGACCCCAGCCTGCAAAATGAAGGCCTGTAACAAAATAACATTCCTTTTAAATGTACTATGTTTTAAACAGGGCTGGGCAAAGATACTTGAAAAAGTATTACGGAATACAGATATTGAAATACAGTTTGGAAGCCTAAAACACAGATACTGAGATACATTTGTAATTGACATCACGGGATATTTCAGAGATACTTTTGCAAAAAGACAAAAATCATATTCCAGAATACAGATACAGCAATACAGAGACTGCAATACTTTTCTCTGTCGGCGATAGTCATACTCCGTACAGACAATTGTTATGTGCAGCAGAATAATTAAAATACGCAGTGCATTCAAACTTTTATTCAACTTATTCATTATTTTATCACCGTACTATAAATGCCATTAAGGCATTGTAAAGAGTATGTTACAATGAGTACGACATAAATAAAGTACAAAATTGTAATGGGTACTACCGCTAACGCCGTTACTTGTAACGTGTTACGTCCAACGCTGGACAAACACAGCGGTCAGCATGTGTCTCCGACTAAAAAAAGAAAGTAAGGCTCCCGAATTCTTTGCTGCCGCTGTAATGGCGGCGCTTATTTCAACGACCTTCTACTTGGTAGACTAATAGTTCAGGCTAGTTGGTTTCCAGTTTTGCTAAAATAGCCTAGCACGAAGCAGGAGGTGAACACGTAAAGAATGAAGACGAGCGCTTACTTTCAGTTGAAGGTTTAGTGTTTCCTAGAAACACAAAAAAAACAGAAAGAAGAAGAACGCACGAAACAAGGAATGCGAGAATAAACGCAAGAAGACCGCCTTCCAATCGCCGTGTGGCCACGCTTGCGTCTTCAAGAAATGCTCTGGAGAAAGAAGTATCGTTGATGGCACATGGCACCACACACCAAATTCTTTGGGTGGTTTGTGGCTTCCGCGATAAGCTCTGATTTTTCAAATGAGCGCCATAAAAAAAGAAAGAAAAAATGAGAAAAAAAAAGCACTGCTTGTTCAAGTGGCATGAGAAAACACATTTTTAAAATGACGCTTTTGACTGGTGGCCACTTTGCAGTGTGCAATGCTCCTCAGAGTGAAAATATCAGTGCTGGAATTCGAAATGGCAGTATAACATTGTTGGCAAGCTCAAGCAGATGATCATTCAGACACATTCTAGTTCTGCCTGACGGTGCACAATGGGATGCGGGTAGCAAAGCGACTAGCTCGCTTTCGAAAAGGTAGGAGTCAGTTTCGCCCTCAGCAGAAATGTAGAAAAGGTGGGTGCATATCTCGCTGTGGACTGCCAAGGTCACAGCAAAAAAACATTTTTTCCCCATTGTAAACACGTCTCGACTCATTTCTCCCCCCCCCCAAAAGCAACGAGATACCCGTGTCCTGGAAAGTATCTCGATACGAGCGATACATCGTAAATGTATTTCACTACTGAGATACAACCCCCCAAAAGCAACGAGATACCCGTGTCCTGGAAAGTATCTCGATACGAGCGATACATCGTAAATGTATTTCACTACTGAGATACAAATACATTTCTGAAAAGTATCTCAATACAGCAATACAGATACTCAAAAGTATCTCTGAAATACTATTGCGATACTGCCTAGCCCTGGTTTTAAATATTTCATAAGACGTTCCCTACACAGCAATGGTTTTGAATTTTAGACTAATAACCTGAAATGAAACAATGCTTGTACTGGCACTCTTTGGCCTTAGACACCCTTGGGCCAATAAAACTTAACCTATTCAAAACTTGGAAAGTCAGGAGAATGACCTCGACAATGACTGGTTGGTCTCTAAGATAGCCAAACACTAGGTTGTTATATGCCAATTCGTTCCTTATTCAGCTTGAAGTGCACTTCTGACCACTCAAGATGGAGCTTTACACGAGAACAAATCTCTACCATTAGGGAACGAGGTGTTGCATTGCAAAATTTCAATGCTTCATTGCACTTGCTTTCATATTGAGGAGTTACACCTGTGCAGCCCTAAAACTTTCTATTACTAGTCACACATGATGAAGTGTCGTGGCTCATATTTAACTGTGTGAAGGAATACAAGCTTACTGAAGTTCATTCTGCAAGTAGTGCTCTGCATCGACTTCTTTTTAAAATTTTTGTTCCACTCACAGGACAGTTAGCTTGCTATCGACTATTTGACATCCACTCAGGAAATTTTTCAAGACCCCCCCCCCCTTTCCCGCCTGTCATTTTTTAATGTACTCATTTTACAATTATAAGTGCACAATTATTGTCTAAAAAATAGTACAAAATATAGTATTGCAAATGTGTTATGTACTGTATAGAACTCATAGGTTACGTTTTTGACATCAGTTGGCACACATTCTCAATGTCCTCTTGCTGATATGTCATTGATGTAACTAAGCAGCTCAGCTTAAACACCTGGTAATCTATTGGAGATTGCTAGGCTACTTTGTTTTTTTTCACTACAGGATTACACATGTCTCGACAGGCGTATACCCAGAAGGAATACTTCAGAGCGCCTCTAAAAGCCAGAATCCTGGGAAAAATGTCACTAGAAAGCGGGACGCAATGAGACAAAGAAGCATCCACCGATACTACGCCGTCTTGGTTGTCAAATCTTCATGAAGACGATGTTAGGCCCAGGCCTATAATGTTTCCAGCTTCATTTAGTAGGCCAGGAAGTGTTGCTAGAATGTGTGAATTCTCTCGTTATCTTCCACAAAGTTTTCCCAACAAAAAGGTGTTAGAATGTACAGCTCCATGAAAACTTGCTACTGCAAGTGTTTATGCTTTCAATAAAAAAAAAACTGCACATGTCAGGTCACTGCGCTTATTTTTTGCCCCGGACAATTGAAACACAGTTCTTCAAAGGTTTAGCATATCTACAGGTTAGGAGCAATCCACTTCAGTGTTCCAGCAGAGTGCGTAACATGGCACCGATTTTAAAAATGTCCATTGCAGAAAATGGTGGTGCAAGCTAGCCCCAGGGAGAGCAGGGACGTCATTAATTTGCAAGGTTATTACTGTCATGTACGAGTGTTAAGTCGCACGAGGTGCTCAAAATGGTGCTAGCGTGTTTTCGCATTTGTGACATCGAGCTATTTAAAAGCAGTCAGTGAATTGATCTAACTGAATGAAGCATTGCACGACCTTCCAAGACACCTCCTCTTGGCAACAGCCATGAATGATTCTTATCAGTATGTTGGTGGTAGTATGATTCGTAACTGGTGTAAAGCACATACATCAAATAACATCTGATTAGAGCACATAGTGGTCAATGTGCATACTAATGCTGGTTTGGTTTTAATACAGCGAAAGAAAATGTCACTGAGACGATGAGACTGTCACACTTTTGCATCATTGGTAATACTGTCCAGTATAACAAAACGTGCACACAAAGGTAATACTACACAGTATTACATTATTGCAAAAATTGTACAGTGAGAATTCATACGTGATATGCACATACAGCAACAAGCTTGAGCAATTTTTCTCCCTCTGGAAGAGTACATGTCAAGCTTCTAGCTGAAAATATGCAATCATGCAATTGCTTTCAACATGTATGCATGCTTAACTAAGGTAGCTTACAACAGATGTAACAGCAAAATGCGTATGAATTGCAGGAGCCTCGCTACATGAGGCATAATTTAATAGTGTAAGCAACAGTTGCTGTGTGATGTAATGTAAATGAATTAGTTGCAATTATGCAAGGTTTTCCCTGTAAGTACTAGTTTTAGATGCAAGAAATAGTCTGAATGTTGTTCATATCATTTATTCAGACTGTAGTCGACATGTAACTAATTCCACTGCATTTTTTGTTTTCAGATGGAATCTACACGAAGAGCAGACTCTGCAAATTCTGCATACAAATAAATGCTGATAAAAAAAGGCTTTATCATGTATATTAGCATTTACTGCAACATCATGAGCTGTGCTGGCATTTACCGAAACAGCCATCGTCCGCATTATTCAAGAAAACGAAATAATACAGCGCCAAGATCAAATTACCTACAGCTATGCAGCTATGGACCACTAGTAAAAAAAAAAGCAACACATTCAGACATAAATTTGTCCATTTACGCATAGTCGTACACCTCCACAGGTCGGCAAAAAATAGGCTGCTACATATGGAACAATGAATGTAAAGTAACTACCCTAGTAATAACAACTCTTGGGGGGGGGGGGGGGACCACTGTGAAATTGCACGAAGGCATTTCCTGCACAGAACTTCCATCATAAAGCCTTCGTTCAAAAAACAGCATGCCCTTGCACTAAAAACGTGCTACCCAATGATAAGTGCGCAACCAAATCGGCTTTGGTTTTTCGCGTGGTTAAGCATGCCACTTAGGGCAAAGGTGAACGGCAGTGGCTGCAGCTTCTTTTCGAGGACTGCACCCACGGTCCAGTTGCTGTCGACCATACCGCGAAAAACAAGGTTCGCCTTGGGCAAGTCCACTTGGTAGCCAATAGAAGCGACGCTTTCGCCCACCCTGAAGTTTGTCTCGACTTCAACGCCCACTTGCGTAGTCTCGCTGCCACGATGATAGTAACAGCAGTGTGCGCCCGCCATGCCCAAGGTGCCACTGACTATGTAGTTGGGGCCAGTGTAACGTCCCGCCATCGAGAGGACGGCAATTTCGCCACCCGGAACTTGAGGTCCGTACTGGTACGCCAACTCGGCGCCGAGGGCCACGTTCGGAAGCACATTCTGAAGGTAGTGCGCCACAATGACGCCAGAATTGTTCAAGACGTCAATATTGCCTAGCGTGGCCGATGCGGTGTACGATGGACCCCGGTAGTCGGCGGTCAACTGTGTTGCAACGTACCGGTTGTCCTGGACTTGCGCCGCTATTTTGGTGCGAACGCGAGGTGTGAACTGGTGAATAATGTTCGCATTTAGGTTACCGCTCGGATCGATGTCACCTAGCAGGACCGGGTACGACTCGGCCGGACCAAACTGCTGCGTGCCCACGTACGTGGCTCCAAATCTGTATCCGGAAGGCGTTATGGAGCTCATGTTGAGGGTATGACTGATCTGGAAATGGTTGCTGAGACCCTTGTTGACCATCAGGCGACCTCCCTCGAAGTTTGCGGGAAATATGTCTTTGCACTTTTTATGGAGGTCTTCTAGTGTACCGGGGTTATGCACTTCACCGTCGCCTTGAAGTGACAACTCACGCTGGTCCGGTGGCGCGGGTACCGATGGTGGAGGTGCCGGGGCCATGGCCGTCGGGGGAGATAAAGGACTCGAAGCGAACACGTTACCCATCGCTCTTTATAATACTCGCCCGGTAGCGTTGGTTGCCGTGACCTGCGAGTCGCGAACGAGCACGGATATACGACGGGTAATCTATGGGAGCACGTGTTCAGGTAGCTCCGACTACCCGACCACCATGAAGAGAAACAGCACTGGCTTCGGCCGCGACTTCGACAGAGTCTGTGGATTCAATCAGTCACACGGTAGTTGCGGCCATGACCTACTACACTCCTGACCTGTTCAGATAGCGGGGTTCCTATGGGAGCGCGTGTCCCCGCTCTCGTTCAATCGCTCGCCGTAGGTGGCGCTACCTATAACCTGTTCGTCTGCTACTGTGCGGCCGGCAGGAGGGCGACGGACTGATACCATGCGTCTGCTTCTGTGACAAACTGCCTATACGTGCACGAAGGACTTCAATTATGTCATTATACCCGACCGCCTGCCAGCCCTATATAGAGTGAACAGTTAATCGCCACATTTCGTTACCGGCGTAACGTTTCTAATTACCTTAAGTAAGCTTATACAGAAACGAACAAAGCTGTATGGGAAGATAGAGGTTTGAGATGAGAAATACATTTGACCAAATTCGGTCGCTAACTTCAGTGACACCCAGTGTTCAAGAGTTGTCCATCGCTAAACACACACACACACACACACACACACACACACACACACACACACACACACACACACACACACACACACACACACACAGAGAGACAAACTGTGGAGGCAGCACGTAAATATTTCATATCATTAATTTTTTTATGGATTTCGGCGGCATTTGTTGAGGCAGCCTTCGGGAAGGGTGCTCGAACCCCTCGCAACCCACCGCTACGCATTTTTACATAATTTACAGATTTCGTATATTTACTTTTTTCTTGTGTGCTATATTTAAATTTCTTGGCACTATTTGTGGAGCCTGCCATATTAGCCGCGGTACTTTAAAAAAGCTTTCATGTTTTTTAGCTCAGTGAATTAGCATAACACACGGAAATAAAGTTTACTAAAGCACCCTGGTGCTTCTTGCTAGCTTGCAACTCGTTCTGAATTGAAACGACTCTCAAAAACACAAGACTCACCTTTTCTTCCAATTGCCTCGATCCATTCTTCCCGTATGTCTGTGGCAGGAAACTCGTGAAAACTTACTTTACTTTGTTTGCCTTGTTCCGATTTGCAATATGGCACGCAGCAATACACCATACTTACATTTGAGGTGTCAGCTCATCTAAAAAAAAAAACTGCACGCGGCCACTATTAGAGCTGACTACTGCAGCTATCTGCCGTCTGCAAGTTTCTGCACACGACCTACTGTGTTTCTGCGTATCTTCTGCAATTTGTGTATGCGTATCGTCTGGAACCATCGTGATTCAGTGTGAACAATGAATGCCTAACAATAGTTTTTTTATCTCGTTGGACTACGTTTTCATTCAAGAAATATTTTCATAATAAATTTTCCTTCATTTGTAGAAAAGTTCCCGTCTGCTTGCCACTGTGACCCTTTGTGTGCTTTTTTTACGGTTCTATTTCTGCTTCAAACGTCCACACGAATGCAGCCAACTCTGACGAGGAATCATATCGCTTTATTTGCCATATTTTACACATTCATACACAATTCATGCACAATAAGAACGATTTGCACTGCCACAGCGATGGCTGAAGCAGACGACAGCGAACAGGTGCTGCCTAGCGCCACGCCGCTCGTAGGTGACGGCCCTAGCGGCAGAAGGTATGAACTAGAACGTGGGCGCTGGAAGAGGTGCTCTCTGGGCAGGTCAGGAGTGTAGTAGGTCATGGTTGCGGCAGTCTCTCACAAACAAAATACGCACAACTAAAATGCAAACAAAGTTAACGAAAGCTTTACAACGCTCGTTAAAAATTGCTGTGCATTAATTTTATGTAAATTAATTACGTTTGTGATTGTTTGTTTGTGTCACTGGCACAACAGACGGCTTTGTGTGAGAGGCGTCGCCATTTTATCCTCGCCACCATCACACCGATCGCACTTCCCGCTCGCTGTGGATGCTCGCCGACGGCGCTCACATGTTTTTTGGCGGCGCCAGAAATATGGCGGATAGTGCTAGTGAAAGTGATAGCAGCTCAGTTGACGGAGCAATGGTTGCCCCGTCTCCTCTGTCGCGAGAGCAGATGCAGAAACGCGTTGACTCTCTCCAGCAGGAGAACCGGGTGCTGAAGATGGAACTGGAAACTTACAGGCTTCGAGTGAAGACGTTGCAGGAGCAGAACCGCGCGTTGCGGCAAGTCAGCGTCAACATTGTGAGGCCTAACCTTGACATTTTACGAATTTATAGGTTTCGCTCATTCAAAAACTATTGAGTTTGTGCTGCCACGTAGTTCAAGCCAGGGTGCGGTACGTAAAGTAACGGCTTCACGCCGCAGAAGTCTTAAGACTAAACTCCCTTGCATCCATTTGTGTACTCGTTCGTCGTGAAAATTGAAAAGTACCGGCATGTTGCATAGTGCGTAAGCCGAAGAACTACATAGTTTACGTATATCGATATTTATGCGTACTGTAAGCATGGGAGCAGCTGACACTGTCTAACGCTTTTGCAGCAAGCCAAAGCCGAACAGGAGGAGGAATTCATCAGCAACACGCTGTTGAAGAAGATTCAAGCGCTCAAGAAAGAAAAGGAGACGCTCGCCCTTAACTACGAACAGGAGGAGGAGTGCCTTACGAATGATCTTTCCCGAAAGCTCAACCAGGTTTGCATTCTCGTTATTAGGGCATATTCATTCTGGTTGTCATGTGCAGGGTATCTGCAGTCGCATGGTGCCCCGCCTCATAGTGATGCAGTGGGTTGTCTACGTCGGAATATCTTGGCGATTCAATTGTACTGTAAAGATGCTTTATTGCCTGATGTGCTTCCTACATGCATACACACATCCCTTGGCATTAATAGTTTCGCACTTGCTGCAAGTCACACATTAAAGAGGCCTCACAGTGTGTGACATGCAGTTTAGGAAAAGTGTATTTGCTGCACCATGGCCAGTTGCAACAAACCGCCATTACAGTGACATTGTGGAGCTGTGCTAGTTGCAGACGTCTGTCAGATAAGGACACAGTGCTGATTCCAACGTTTCAATACACAGAATGCTGAAGATGTGCTGGACGTTAATTGCCATGGCCAATTATAGTTTGCTTACATGTTGGTGTTAAAATGCTGTCAGGAACACTGTTGTCATGAGCATATTTGTCTTCATTTTTATATTTCAGTAGAACAGTAGTGTAGGACAACAAGCCTTATAGTGTGTTATCATTGGTCAGTGTTGCCATAGACGAGTACCACTTCTGGTTTGAGACATGCTGAATGTTAATTCCACTTGTGTATAGGAGGGTTGAACAAGCGGGCAGGGCCACCGAGATGGTGCCAGCGCCGGGACAGCAAGCACGTTGATCTTGGCGGTTTCCCCATACTCAACCGCACTCGTATCTGTACCCACTGCAGCATCATGCATATTGTTATGCACACAGCCTTTTGTTGCTGCTCACCATTTCGACAGAACTGATGAAGCGCATCACAAAGACATCAGCACCATGAGACGCCACTATGGCCCCAAGCAACTCTCCTATATATCGGTGTATTATGATCAGTGCACAAAACGGACAAAAAACACAAGAAAGTGCATGACATAAGTGCTGTCTGATAACTGAAAGTTTAATGGAAGAATCATGTCAAATGTATGCAGACATGAAGGCACCACCACACATGTCATCAAGTATGCTGCAGATACGAAATCTCAGCATCTGTGGGAGCGATTGAAGGTTGGCTCATGCACCTCTCTCCTGCTTTTATGATTTCATATGCTGCAGCAATTTTCAGGCGTGCGCTGAACACTATGCCTCATCAGCATGGTGGTTTTGTCAAGCTCAGCTGCGCAGCCACACTGCCAGCAATGGAGGGCAAGATGCGTAGATGGTGTACCTTTCAAAGAGCTAGCATGCTCCCTTATACGGACGTTGAGGCAACGTCCCGTCTGCCCAATGTCTTGCATGGCTAGGGGTGAAGCACACCACTCGCACAGTCAGTGAAATGCTTGCAGTGCTTTATAGAGCAACCTACAGCACTGACAGTGGCCTCCCCCTTCTGCACTCTTTTGTCAACTCTTGCACACACGCTTCCTAGCTTCTTGCCAGCATAAGACATTTGTGTCATAATGACTTTCCACTTTCTTCAAACTGCAACACGGCGTGGAGGTATGGCATAACGACGACAACTTTTAATGAGATCTAACAAACAACCATGCTAAGGAAAAATATAGGGGATGTTATATAAGGTAATCGTTATTGAAGAAAAGTGGATGAAAAGATAACTTGCCGTCGGAAGGGACCGAATCTGCGACCCTCGAAGGTCTCAGGTTTGGTCCTGCCCACGGTAGGATAAATTTAATACTAATTAGAATACTAATTTAAATACTAATTTAGCCCTGCCACAGTAGTCTAGTGGTTATGACTCGACTACTGACACCTAAGGTCACTGGATTGAATCCTGGCCACTGCAGCTGTATTTTCGATGGAGGTGAAAATGTTCGAGGCCTGTGTACTTAGATTTAGGTGCACGTTAAAAACACCCCAGGTGGTCAAAATTTCCGGAGCCCTTCACTGCGGAATCTCTCATCATACGGTGGTTCTGGGACGTTGAACCTGTAGTGAACACATATTCCGAAGGGGTACGGCTGCTAGCGCGGGTCCGGTCTTAGCGAGCCGCAGCGCACGCATTAATTGTTGCCGTGGTGAGGCCAAGATAGTGTTCAAGGTCGCAACACTTTGTCTGCGGCAACACCAAAAACGCAGTACAGAACCCGTTGCAAAGGCGCGGCGGGAAAGCAAATGGGCTTATCCACGCCTTGGGCGAGAAGTACTACACAGGGGTGTCATGAGCACGTCTCCGTGGTAAAAGTGATTCACGGAGACACCGGCACAAAGGCGAAATAAACACGTGGACGAAATAAACACGGAAGAAAAAGCAAAAGAGAGCAATAATGGCACTCAATATCTGGCCAAAAGAAAATAAAAACGAAATACAAATGCACACTTAATATTACACAAGAGAAACAAAATACACATGAACACTTAAAAAATGAACACTGGCAGCAAAATGGGCGGGGTCAACTTCTTTACGAGAAAAGGCCGTAAAGAAGCTAATCTATACTGAGGCTAGACAGTAAACTGAGGGCCTTCGGTTGTGGAGAAGTCCACCGTCCGGCGCGAAATCGCAAAGGTGGCCATTTCCTCAGATTATACCGGTACGGGGTCCGAATGCGGTCCGCCACCCCGGGTGTGCCTCGTTGCTTGCGCAAAGTGTTGCTGGGTGCTGACGCGAGCTCGTTGGACCGTGGCATAGGACTTCATGACTGCGATGTGGGCATGGCTGAATTTTCCCAAAAGGGGATCTTTCAGCAAGTACACGCCTCGGATGCTCACTGACAATCGGTTCATTAAACTGGGCAGCTTGCCAACCCTTGGTTCCACCGTTTGTCAGACAGGGCAGGCACGAAATAGTGATAAATGTCGCGCTTCGTGCCGGACCAGGTCACGTCATTGTTCGGTTTGCAAAAACTTTCGAGCCACTCGGGTGACTGGCCACGAGTTCGTCGTGAGATGATCGCAACAGTGCGGCTATTGGACTTTTTTGAGTATAGCCACCTTAAACGGATTCGCAGACGTCTCGCCGGTGGCTATATAGTTCAGCGGGAGCCCGTCATGGTCCAGCAAAATGGATTCGCCGGGTACTCGGCGAAAGACGCTGTTTCCAGCCCCCTATTCCGCCCGCTGCAGAACAAGCAGCGTAACTGCGCTCCGTCTCTTCGAGACGGTCATTAACGGCACCCGCCGCAGAGCAAGCAGTGTACACGGTGCTCTGTCTCTCCGAGACTTTAAACGGATCACTTTGCTGAGCCTTCAGTAGCTCGTCGCTGCCGAAAGCGATTTCCATTCTCTCAAAGGGGGAGTCTGGTATTGCGCCCACTCAGGACTGCAGCAACTGCTGCGTGCACGGCGTCACGGGTTCGCTCTCAGCACTGTGGGCTTCGGAAAGCTCCACCGCTACGCAGTGCGCCGCTGTTTTGCCCCTGACGCTTGCATGTGCTAAGGCACCGCGAGTGGCCGTCGCACCGGAATCCAGGTTCTCGGCGGACAACGGAGGGCACGAGAAAGCGCGTCAGCTACCATGTTGGTTATGAGTTCACCACAAAAGGGGGGTGAAGACATGGACGGCTGCAAAAGGGGTGCCTGTCGATAGAGGCAATGGTCTCTTTGTGCAACGCGGCATCCGCCTAAACGGGTCAGCGGACAAAATGCCACGAAGCAGGCGTGTTGCAACGAGCCCGAATCGCACAGGCGAACCGACTCGCTTAGAGCAGTCAAAAGCTTAGAGCTTTTGATACCGCGTTGGGTGCCAGTGTAGTGTACACGTTGTTGCGAAGCGCGCCTCCGACGACGTTACGAAGGGCGCCACGAATCTCGCCGCTGACTCCACTGTTACGAAAGACGGTGACGCCAACACGGTCCCGAGGCATCACTGCTTCAAACTCCGCCGGGAAGGTCACCAGCCGTTTGGTAGCGTAGGTTTCTGAGCTCGCGACTGCTTCTGCATAAAGCTGATAGACGAGCGGACGAGACGACGGTGAGTTAAACAAAGTTTATGTACAGCATATATACAGAGGCATTACAAATTCGGCACGGGGGCTGACAGCTTAGAGACTCGAATAGCCGAGCTCTCTTCTCTGACACATCGGTCTACTGCTCGCGACGCGCCGCAGGGCTTCTTTTATATGCACCGGGTGGATTCTTTGAGTAACCAAATGTCCAACCAGAAGCGCCGCTGGTCGTGAGGTCAGAATCCTCCAATGGGGTCGCCGCTGGGCCGCGTCATTCTCATCGAATCTGGAGCCGCTACGCTGCACGTGGCTGCACCCAAGGACGAGTGACGTCGCCACGCATTGCGTCAGACTCGCCAGACAGGAAGGCGCCGATTGCTTCTACGGGCTCGCTGGCTGAGGTGACTCGCTGTGCGTGCGCGGCAGAAACGCACCGCCACGTGATGACGCCGTTGAGTTGTTCGCGTCAGGTGGGCTCGCGGGCTGGCCTTGACACAGATTGCCTTTTTCAGAGGCATGGACGTTCGCTGTGGACTTGCAGGCATAACAATGTATCCCGAAGAAGTACAGCCACTAGCGTGGTGTTAGCGAGCCGCAGCTCACGCATTAACTGTCGCCGTGGGAAGGACACAATACTGCCCAAGATTGCAACTCTTTATTGTCTGCGGTAATACAAAAAATGCAGTACAGAGCCCGTTGCAAAGGTGCGGCGGGAAAGCAAATGGGCTTTTCCGCGCCACGGGCCAGAAGTACTACACAGGGGTGCCGCGAGCACGTTTCTGTGGTAAAAGTGATTTATGTAGACACCGGGTCAAAGGCCCGGTTGCTCGAGCGAGGGCAAAGGCGCTCGTGTTGGCTTCGGAGAGATACGAGTCGGCGTAGCCTGGCCATGCACTAAGACACAGCTCTTCGCTAGCCTTCGGGGGGGGGGGGGAGGGGGGGGCGACAAAAGGTAAGCGTTCACAGCGGGCGCGAGGTGCTGTTGGCGAAGTCCGAACAATCCCCAAACAAAGGGAGCCGATGGATGGAAAAGAAATGCGTGCTTACCCCATGTAGTCCCTGGGGAGGTTCTCTCTCGCTCCCGACACATGTGCGAAACTTCCAGA